GGTTATTTCTAGGTATTACATAACAAAATATCTTAAAGTTTTACTATTGTGCCACTTAAAAAATTTATTGATTGAATAAATTTAGATCACTTATTAGATCCAAATCCTATTGGTTCCCCCCTTACTGCCAACTTCTTGGCTCAATAATCATCATCCTCATTATTCATCTCCCACCTTTAGAATCAAATACCCAATCATCCCAAATTATTGGTTCCTGGTCCACTAATTTGTGCGTGCACACACATACGTGGCACTGCCTCTGGCCGACACGTTGCAGAGAGCCATATATATACTGCACATAAAGGGAATGCAAGTGGGTACATGGGGCTCGCTTTTTTGTGACCAACTTGCTATAAACTGGCGCGATACAGGATGTGAAGAAGATCAAAACTATGATTTGGAGAACCAGCATCGATACCACGCAACACGACACCCTTCATTCTTAAGCTTTCATTTCTTTATTTGCTTTGTTTTTCTGTCTGACTAGTTCTTTTTGTTGTCTAATCTAGTACTCCCATTTAGAGCAAGAGGGTGCTGTCCTGTCTAATCCCCGATATTCGCAACCATCGCTTCCATATTTTAAATAATGCTATCTATTGGATTTCTGTCAACCGTGTTTTAGTCAATATCTATCTAATCGTGCTTGAAGCTTGTCTTATAAGAGTATCTATAATTCTATGCATGCAATAATATAATACTGTGATTACAAAATTGCCTTCTTTTTTATTTCTTATTGTTATACATATATATATATATATATATATACATATATATATATATATCATCTACGAACACTAGTTTATTGAAACAAAATTTACTCCGCACAAATTAGAGGGCGATAGAAGAAAGTTGACATATTTGATGGTTACCTGTCCCATCTATTTCAAGTTCTCAATCATGATACATTGAATTGATTTATTCGTCGGTGATTCTTATCAATCATGTTCTGCCAAGTATAATATTTTTCGGCAATGATTTCGATTCATGAGAAACAAGTAGCCGGACAGATTACATTATTTGCGAATAAAGATTTAAAATAGACAGAAATTTAGAAAGTTAGATAAAGTAAACAGCGACAAGGGGCAAAAAAATGTAAAAAAGAAAACAAAAAACAAAGAGGCATAATTAGGATTGCAAGGTCGGGAGATCAAATTAAATTTGAGAGGTTATGTGTACATACAAACACGCGAAATTAATTCCAGCGGTTTTATAATTAAAAATATCAGAAGCCAAAAGAGAAACTAAAGGCATTCCATAGGGCACGAGAGAGGAAATTAACCAAGAACCTTACATTGGTATATATGAATAAACCTTAAATATTTAAACTATGAAAAAAATAGAAGTTGAACCAAGACCACTGTCTCCAACCAGAGAAAAAGTTGCTGATGAGACTATCCCATATCACTCCCAGAGTCCAAACGCTATTGTTACTCCTCTCATATATTTTTGAAATTTATCATGACGGTCGATAAGATTTTTTATTAATAGTTGATTATAATATGCGTGGCTCACAGTATATATATTATATAAAGCTGTATCCTATCCAAAGTTGACTTTTATCGCACTCAAGCAACTTGTCATTGCCACAATTTTAAAACAGGATTTCATATATAAACCCATAGAGGCTTTATTATTTGTTTTCTCTGATTACCTGATACAACGCCAAACTAGCAAACTACTGTCAATACCCAGTATTCGGGAGCTTCCCCCTGTATGAGTTCCGGTATTCCAAATTTTTGATCCAAACTAATCCGACCAACAGCTTGTAAGCACCTCTTTGAAAGGCATGGTTTCCACCGAGTTTTTTATTGCTTTGTACATCTAATTAAGGCTCGAATATAAAACCCTCTGTTTAAGCTGTGTGTGAGTTTTATGATGATGGCGTTGACTATGCAATTTAATTTGAGTATACCTGTATATGAAATTCACCTTATATTTTTTCAAATATATTATATATTTATTGTTGTGAGTAGAGAGAAGGTAGACCTGAAATACTCTATTGTTATTTAGAAAAAAAATGAAGGAGAAAACTCAAAAACAAATTAAGGACAATAATGTGAAGATGGAAGCTTGAAAAACATGTTCGCAAGTGGACGTTGCTTTCGTACAATGGTTAGTTGATTCCTCTGTGCCTGAGAGGCAGCTTCCCAATTCAGCCGATTTAACTTGCTTCCCTCTTTTTTTATGCGCTATGATTTATTTTGTTCCTTCCTTGAACTAGCCATAGGTTGCTCCATGTCTCTTAATTGGATTGGTTTTTCTCCAAAGGGAATCTTTTGAGCAGTGAATTGTGAGGGAGAAAGGGATCAGTATACATGAAATTTAAATATTCATACAATAATATTCAATATACATCAATTCCATTTTTTACGTACTATGGAATTCTTGTTTAAATTCTTCTTAAAATATTGTTTAATTGGAAATAATAATTAACAATATTGAGTATTAACTTTTTTTCATAATTAATGAACATATAATATTCTTAAAATAAATAAATATTAATATACTAAATATATTTGTATAGCATCCACGTATATCATAATAATGTATAGATAAATAACAATGAAAGTTTATAATGTTATATATAAAAATATTTTGAATTATAATTAAGAGTTAAATGATAAATTGGCTTCTCAATTATAAGTCCAAAAGAGTTTGGGACCCTTAACTTGTTTTTGGTGCAATATTTTCGTTCAACTTTTAAAAATGGTGCAGTGTTGACCTTGCCATTAATAAAAATTAATTTTAATCATTAATTGACCTAAAAATGACCTCTTATCTATAATTTTTGGATCATTTTAGATAACTTTTGGGTCATTTTCTATTAAGTATTTTCTTGTTAATTAATGGTTAAGATTTTTTTTCAATGGTGAGAATGACATTCAACTATTTTTAAAAGTTAACGAGAAATATTATACTAAAAATAAGTTTAGGATATCAAATGCACATAGTTTAGGGGGAGCCAATTCACTATTTAACCTTATAATTGATATATACAACTTCTTGTTTGTTATACCTACATGTAATTTTTTTATGTAAACTTATGATATATATTCACAATATTAAATATCATGTAGTTTTGCCCATGTATGTTGACATTAGCGCTAATTAAGAAGGGTTTAGATAGAGGTTTAGTATTATCTTAGGTTTGGTAAGGAAGGGGATAAAAAATAATATATATTTAAAAAAAATAATATATAGATTATTATATTATTATACATTGACGAAGCTCTGGCCCATGCTGTGAGGACAGTAAATTAATGAAAGATTTGGAGTATTAAATATATTTCTGTCAAAAAGTTTAACGAAAACAAGTACCGAACAAGAAATTAAATCCCATGCTGTCATACTTTATCATTGGCGACTTTATCTTTATAACTTTTTATTTACTAGTGAAAAAACATGTCTTTTGTCTCTGCAATTTATTCATATTTTGACATAAATTTTTATATTTCATCATTATTTTTGATTCTTACATTCTTATTTTTTAATATTTATATTTATTCAAGATTCCTACACTTAATTTATTATATTTATTTAAAGATTTAAATTATAAAAAAATAAATGTAGGGATTTAAAATATTAAAAAATATAAAAAAATTATAATAAAATAAAAATAAAGTATCGGGGCTAAAAAGTATATTTTTTTATTAATTTATATATTATTTTTATAAAGAATGGAAATTAAACCCCATGGTGTCATAACTCATAAATGTGGAATCTTCCATCACCAATGAAACCTGCAGTGAATAGTCTCCGTGTATGATGGCAAATATTGGATCTTTTCAAAAGTGAAGTCTATAAAATATTGTTAAAGTAAAACAAAATATAATATATGCTCTCTTTTTATTTGCCTATCTCGTTTTTTCATTTAAGAAATATTTTTACAAAGCCATATAGGAAACGCAAATTCGAGATGATGAGAGAATACTGACTTGGGGCTATGTCTTGGGCCTTAAGCAACATGGCATGATGTCTCTTTAATTTTATTTTCTTAATGGAAAATATGCAAATAATAAGCAACATTAGCTGAGTTCCCTTCGCGGTGAAGACAGCGTGGAGCGCGCGCGATACAGCACCACTCAATAGAACACTTTTCTGTGGGTCAAACACATTTGACAGAGAAAGAATTGCATGTAAGTTTTAAACAAGAAAACTAACTATTTGATAGTAAAAAGACAGAAAGAAAGACATAAAACTGTTTACAAGTCTCATCTACTTATAAATATTGAAATTTGACTTGTAAATACATCAAAAAAATAATTATTATTTTTTATCTGGGACTTGATTATTTAATAAATTTATACACCATCCCCCACTTTTTCCCAGAAAATACAGGATAACCGATGGCTGCACATAATATTACATTTATAAATTATAGTTTGTGTGTTATTTATGAATAGTGTGACTTTAATAAATTTTAGATCAAATTGGATTTATTTTTAAATCAAAAGAAATTCAGAGAAAAGGCCTATACTGTGGTTGGGAATTAAGGATGATGAAATTTATCCAAAACTCAAGTTCAGTTTAACTAATAAACACAAAGAATTGAACTAGAAGATTAGACCGTACAAACGTACGTCATTGATAAAGGCAGCCGCAAGTGCAACAGCACGATTCTCGATCATTGTGAACACATAGAATCGTATTATCCTACAAGTATAAACAGGAGAAATGCCCCTTACTCGCTCTTCACTGCAGAATAAAGGCGAGAAGGTGAAATAAAAATTAAAAAGGGAAATCGAGAGGAAAGTAAGAAGGAAAAAGACCGAAAGGCCAGAAATATTCTGTCCATCATGCACTATCTAATGTGCCACCCACTTTCCACGTGATTCCACGTAAACCATCTACCATGTATACCTCATCATTCATTGCACATATTTTTTTTAGAACTTGTCCTTTTTTCACAACCCAGTTCGCGAGGGAGACATTATATTGCTTTTAATGGTCAACCTTTGAGCCCAAAACACATTGTAATTGGAATTGGAATTGGAATTTACATCATTCCAGAACCATATCCCTCCTTGTATTCTTTCACATTCCTATTATTAAATATTCAGTCCCACGAAAGTCTCTCCCTCATTAGCCCCTCTTCACACTCTTTTTTGTTCGCCACTCTCATCCCCTCCTTCTTATATATATCAACGACACCGTCACGAAGCTCCTCCAACATTTTCAGCCTCATCAGAAAAATGGGTCTTGCCGATATGTCTAACTCAGGCCTCGGGCTTGGTCTTGGTCTTGGTCTTCATCATCAGTCTGAGAATTGCCCCAGAGAAATCCGACAGAAGAAAGAGGATGATCAGTACAAATGTGACCAGAAGGCCGTATACCCGTCTCTTACCTTAGGACCGCCTGATGATCAAGAGGCGAATCAACAGCTTCTTCCAACAAAGACTGAATCTGTTCACTTCCATGCGATGGCCTCTTCTCCCAGCGCGGCTTCTTCGTTTTCTAACTCCTCCAGTATCAAAAGGGAGAATAAGGAGTTTGCCGGCGACGAGCTTGATTTGGAAGTCGAGAATAAGGTTAATCCTTCCAAGGTAGGTGCCGACGTAGACGAGGAGGGCAATCCCAGGAAGAAACTCAGGCTCTCCAAAGAACAATCTGCTGTTTTAGAGGACAGCTTCAAAGAGCACTCTACTCTAAATCCAGTACTGCTCCATCTATCTCCTGCTGAATTATAGCTTTTGCACACATATATAAATAAAAGCTTGTTTTCGCTTATTTTCTCCTCTGTTCTTTCAAACTGGTTCTTCTGAGGGTGGTTTCTGATGTTTTTCTGATTGGTCTTTTGTGATCTACTAATTCACAGAAGCAAAAGCAAGAATTGGCAAGGAAGCTAAACCTGCGTGCGAGACAAGTGGAAGTTTGGTTTCAAAACAGGAGAGCCAGGTAATTGGTTATAACCTCACTTTCTTGGGATTGATAACTGCTTTAATTTGATAGATCAGTGCAATCGTCTTCTGCAACTCCATCGTCTTCTTGTTCATATTAAATACTGATAGTATCGTCGATTCTCGGAATACATACAGGACAAAACTAAAACAAACGGAAGTTGACTGTGAGTTACTCAAGAAGTGCTGCGAAACGCTAACGGAAGAGAACAAGAGACTGCAAAAGGAGTTGCAAGAACTGAGATCAATAAAAACGACGTCGCAGGGACCCTTGTATATGCAGCTTCCGGCAGCCACCCTCACCTTGTGCCCTTCTTGTGAGAGAATTTGCGGCGGAGGCGGCGGCGCCACCACCAACGGCTCTCCTGCTGCCACCGTCTTCCTTACTGGATCAAAGGCCCATCACTTGTACAAAAGTAACTATCCATTCGCCCACTCGCCGGCAGCTTGCTAGCCAGCTAGCTCGGGTGGCTGCACACAAGATTTCCGACTCGCTCTTATTTTTGTTCGCGAATATTTAGCCAGCGGCGCAAATTGATTCGCAGTAATTAGTTAGTGATGTCAGATGTTCAGGAATTAAGAGTAGATATTTCAAGCAAAGTATATATGAATTAAAGGCATTTTTCTTGTTTTTTATCTGATCCATATGTAAGGTATATTTATCAGCCATGCTGATTATGAATAATAATAATAATAGGGTAAATTAAGAGTTCATATCATCTCTGCCTTTTCTCCTTCTGTTCAACTTATTTATCATTGGCAAGAATGCTTTATCCTCCATCTGATGAAATTGTGGGTAATATCCGACTCATCGAAACTGTGCATGAACTTTCGGCGAGAGTTTGTCCAGAGATTGCTTCCTCGCAAAGTTTTTAGCTTATTTATTACGTCAGATATGGTTTTTTTATATTCATTTTTATGCTTGGATTTACCATATCGATAAACAGTAACTTCCATCGGTGACGAATCCAGGAGTCATCCTATGGAAAGGCCTATAACTAAAATTTTATTTAGATGATGTTGGAGACTGACAACGATTTTTACATTTTTCATAAATAAAATTATACTTAAAAAAAATTTGGAGGATGGAGGCCGCAGCCGCTGTTAACCTCCCCCAAATTTGTCCCAGAGTTTCATCGTGCAGTCCTATACTTTTACCCTCTCTCTGCCTATAGGATATTGGAGGGGGAAAAGTAAAAGCAGAGAAATGGTAAAAATGTTTGACTTGATATTTTTATTCTGTCTTCCCTCTCCAGACAGAGTATCGTGGCAACTGGCGACAGTCAAAGTGTTTTTTTTTTTTTTGGCGGGGTGAATGGAATTAATGACCATATCCATGACTCTTTTTTCACAATTACTGTTATCCCAGATTGTAAGATGATTTTAAATAAAATTATATTATAAATTAATAAAATTTATTAAATTTGTCACCGACTTCCATCGTGCAGTCCTATACTATGTATGATGACTTTTACTCTCCCTCTGCCTATAGGATAGTGGAAGGGGTAAAAGTAAAAGCAGAGAAATGGTAAAAATGTTTGACTTGATATTTTTATTCTGTCTTCCCTCTCCAGACAGAGAATAGTGGCAAGTGGCAACAGTCAAAGTGTTTTTTTTGTTTTCTTTTCTTTTCTTTTCTTTTTTTTTTTTTGGTGGCGGGGTGAATGGAATTAATGACCATATCCGTGACTCTTTTTTCATAATTACTGTTATCCCAGATTATAAAATAATTTTAGATAAAATTATATAAATTAATAAAATTCAATAAATATATTTTATAATCTTATTTTTAAAAAAATATATAAATTTTTAATAATTCCCTTCATTAGTGAGAAAATATAATAAATAATGAAAGGTAATATTGAAAAAATAAATTTAGTAACATCTTATTGTTTTATTAAATCATCTTATATTTTAAGAAAGTAAATTACCTATAGTTTTGTAAACTGAGACAAGGAATACTATTTTAGTAGAAAAGGTACAAAAGCACATAAGTACGCTACGTTGGGATTAATCTGAGAGCAGTCACTCCTTGTCTAATAATCAAAATCTAACAACCCCTACCACTATAGAATTAGCTAAATAAAATACCTTATACTTGATGATTGATTATTTAAAAAAATAATAAATAAAAAAGACCATAGTCATTTAAAAATAACCTTCAAATATATATATTTTATCTTAATTTTTGTTGGATATATGTATACGTGTATGTGATGCTTGTCTTGCAATAACCATTAAAATATATAAAGTATATATTTAATAATTATTATAAAATTAAACAAGCATCAAATATATAATAATAAAATTATTTAAAAATATAAATTAATATTTGATGTTTGTTTGATCAAATATATTAAATATTTATTTTACGGTTATTTCAAAACAGGCATCAAATGCAAATTACTTGACATTTTAAAACAAAATAGTCAGATTATTTTAAAAAAATTGCCAATTATTATGTCGATAAAGGGTAAAGAATTCAACAAAAACTCATTTGCAACCATTCAACCTCCATTTTACCCTTTATCAACATTAGGCTCATGATTTTGGGCTTCGTTTGCTTGATTGGAGGCTTCATGAGGCATTTTGGGGTTTATGGTGTCTTTTTTGAGTTCTTCCTCTCAATTCTCAGCTTTGTCTCTTCTACATTGAGGTTGGTTTTATGTTTATAGTCCATTAATTCTTGTTTTGAATCCATGGGGTTAGAGAGATTTTGATTTTAAGTTAAAAATGGTTGCATCAAAGTTGAATTCCTTCTATAGGTTGCAAACGGTTGCTGTGATGTTGATTTTTGTGTTTTGGATGGTTGAAATTTGATTTTCTTCGTTAATTAATCTTGCCAATTTTTGAGTGAATTAAAATGACTACATTGTTGTTTGGCCGAGAATGCTTGGAAATTCATCTTCTCATTGATGTTTTTAGGTGTTGTGGTTGCTGAATATATATTGGTGTAGTAGCTTTCAAGTGTTGTGCTTAATTTGATTATAAATTGCAAAATAAATTCTACAATGAAGAGAGGGCATGTGATTTGAGAAACACTCATTTTTAAGCTGTTATAATATTAATTTTTTAAAAATATATAGAACATGTGTTGATTTGTTTTTATTGTGCTTGGTTGGGTTTGAATTAAGGTTATAACTTTCAGGATTAAATTTCTATATGAAGAGAGGTCATAAAGCTAAAAAAGCACTCATTTTTAAGCCCTTATGATACCTTTTCTTTTCAATAGCTAGCATTAAAAATAATATCAATAAAAAAATTTATATTAATTTAGTTATTAGTTTAATTAGTTACAAGTTCATTCTTTTTTAGACTAGTTTAGTTATTGGTTTAATTAAGTACTAATTCCTAACAAGGTTAGAGAGGAAAAATATGTGAATAGTGATTCGTTAATTGATTCCATATTTTTTTCGAACTCTCATGATATCTATGAATCACTAATCATATTTTTCTCTGAATATTTCTTGGTAGATTAGAATTATAGATAATGAATGAATGTTTATCAATTGTCTATCTAAGAAATATTTGGATGGGATAGCGGACTTTGTTAAATTTGCAAGTAAGCATGCATAGGACTTTATTAAAATTGTTTGCCCTCGCTTAAAGTGCAACCTTGTGAAGTGAGTTAATTCAAATACTTATGAAAAATACTTAGTGATCAACGAGATAAATTAAAGTTATAAGTGTTAAACAATGCACGACGAGACAATGGATGATGTTGATTGTTGTCAAGGCGTAGTGAAAACTATGTGTCATCTTTGGATAATTTCGACACAATACACTTGAGAAAAATTGTCTCAAATAAATGGCCAAGATGATTTAAGAAGACATTGAGAATTGTCTAAAAATATTTGAAAAATTAAAAAGTGATCAAAAATGTCATTTTATGCTAGTTATAGTGAATTAAAATTGTCAACAATGTTAAAATTGTACAATTCAAAAGCAAAACATGAATGAAGCAATGTGAGCTTTATAGAGTTGCTTGCATATATGAAATTGGAAATGCTACCGAGGACAATGAGCCTCCTCATTAGGCATGCAATGCAAAATTATACTCATCTAGTCTTGTTTATAAGGCAAAGAGAGAAGAAAAAAACTTGATCCTATTTATAAGACACTTACTAATTTCTAATGCTCCTCTTCACTTTTGCATTTATTAAATGCTTTAAATAAAAATACTAGTAATGATATTTATGAATATTTATCAGGAGTAAAGGTGGACACTTATTAAATTTAAAGATAAACTTAATGAGGTTTAAGGTTTTTCTTAATTTTGATAAAACATTCTAAAGATGACTTATAAATAAGTTTAGAAAGAGTAATAAAGGAACAAAAATTATAAATAAGGACCCAAAGAATTATTAAAAAATGTAATTTTTGATATTTCTTTCTGTCACTAATTGTTAAAGTTAACCTTTATTAATGACAAGGGCCAAAATGCACCATTTTCAAAAGTTAACTTTTATTAATAAATTCAGGGTCTATGATATTACTAAACATATTCAAAGGATAATTTGCTTATTTACCCAATTTTTTACTTTTTATTTATAGAAAATTGTAAAAGGATAAAATTGAAAAAAATTAATTAATAATCCACTTTTCAATGCAAATTAACTTATAAAAAATGGACTCTAAATCCTTTCCAAAGACAACTTATATATTGGTATGGAAGGCGTACATGATTTTTTTTTAAGTGCTTTTGTTAGGATCTTGAAGGAAAATTAACACGTGGAGAATCGTTTCATTAAAAAAAAAATTCACAATATACTAAATTGAAAACATTAAATTTAATTACTACGTTTTTGTTTAAAAATACAACAAATACGTATAAATTGCACCAAAAAAGTCCCATGACAACATATTTCTGTTGGCAGACTAGATGTAGAGAAGGCCTTTAAAAAATTCACGCCCACTCGTTTGGGATTATTGGGATTTTTTTTCTTTTTTGCCTATTTTGCAATTCGTTCTTCACAAATTTAATTAAATAAAAATTCGAGACCGGGAAATCATTTGATAAGTTTTTTATTATACATAAATTTTAAATGATCTATCAATTCTCAAATTCAAACAACTTTAAAATATTGCAAATTTTAAATAGGTAATTACCATAATTAAATCCACCAATTCTTTCACAAGCATAATCAAACGGCCCCCCGGAAGTGACGCTATTAATTCCGTCTTAAATTTCAATCTTAATTATAGTTGCCACAGTAATTAACACGGCAATACTGATACATAATATTCTCTCAATCTTAAATTATAAAATATTTTGAGAAAGATTTGACATTTTAAAATATAAAACTTTAATAAGATTAAAATTTCATTAAATATATTTATTTCAATATTACTCTTTCTCTTTTATAATTAATTTTCTTCCCTTCTCTTTCAATACACTAAATGATAAATTTTTAAAAATTTATATTTTTATTTTAAAAATATAAAATTATTACATGTATTTAATAAAATATATCGATATGTAAAATTTTATTTGAAAATGTCTAATAATTTATAAGACGAAGGGAGTATATCTGATGTCGAATGAAACCGAATTTGGGTTTAGACCTCATCAACTATTCGCGTTGTCTAATAGCAATCAATTTCAATTAATGCGATCCAATAATAGGCTTGTTGGCATTCGTCTAATCTTTTTCCCCACTTGTTTTCACGAAACACTTTCAAGCATGTGCTGTCACAATTGTCATGGCTTGTGT